TGAAAATTCAGCTTTACCATCACAGGAATAAATAATATTTTAACATATATTAAAATAGAAAATACTTCTTAATATTACTGTTAAATGCAGCCTTGGTGAGAATAAGACCCTTACTAACCCCAAACTTTTGAATGGTATATTGAAGATTGTGATATTCAACGTGGTCAAATTCACGTACACAAAACCATTAGGTTTCACCAAAATCCTTAATATACAGAAAGTTTCAAACTGTGCTTATGCTAAAGACTAAAGTTCTTAGCATTTCCTGTCATTTATGACGAAGTGACGCTAAATTTAACTTCTGAAGACTAAATCACAAAAAAAAATACACCACTTTTCTCTGCCTTACACAGTCAAAAAATATATAAACATAAAGGACAACATGAGAAACTAAACTTTTGCATTGCTATGTGATTGTTTAAGTGTCCTGAATGGTTTTGGCACAATGCTATTTGGTTGCTGGAGTGTTCTAGGTGATTGCTTGCTGGCCAGTCTAAATAGCACACCAACAAGAATGATATTCTGGCTCGCTATCAACTAGCCTAAATAGTGGTGTTAGACAGCTGACTTATCACTGAACTGTGGTCAAGTGGTCAATAATAGGCTACAGTATCTTCAGTCTCACAGCTGTTTTCCCAGATAAACTCGTATTAGACGCCAGGAAAACACTGCTGACAAGACTGAGACAAAACATACACACAAACAAACCAAAAAAAGTGTTAAGAGCATCAGTAAAGAATGAAGTAGTGGAAAGATATTGTCCTGGCTGTCCACTTCATGTCACAGTCAACTAGATATTATTCAACTTGTTAACTGACATACTTGTTCCCAATGTCATTCAGCAAGGGAAAAATAAAAATAACACATGCATTGTGCAGAAAAACACACAACTACAATGACACACAAACCCCAGCCAGTAACCTTAGCCACAGCTGTAACCACTGAGATTCAGTGCATGTTATCAGAGTGCTGTGTAACTGTGTATTTAACTGCTCTTAAATAGACGGTTAGAATGAAGTCCATCGAACTGTTTGCCTTCAATTTCTCCAGCACCGTTTTAAGAGATGACAAGCAGGCCACTCGTAAAGAGACTAAGGACCATCTTACATAATGTTGTTTAAAACAATTCTGTTTGGATTAACAGTTAGTGTGTCTCTGAGTCTTTTTTATACTCAGGCCATACTAACAACACCGCATTTGCATACAAATTTGAACACAACCTCAGACACGGGAGTCATGGTTGTGCAATAAATGCTTGACCTGCTCATGTTATCAAGATCACTTGGGGAAATGATTCAGCACTCTAGCGGACATTACTTAAGCAGTGGTAGAGGACAAAGGTTTCACTCAGACCTACAGAAATGCTTTACCTCAATAGACGTGAACGATGGCTTATCAAACACCGCTATTAACTTTAATACTGTAACTCAAACTCAGCCTTAAACAAAAAAAAAGATAAGAAACACACTTTTTCCTTTCCTACAGAAGTGTATTCTTATATTCTTGACCTAATATTTAAAATGTCAGTAGACATCAAACTAATCAGAATTTATATTTAAGTGGTTTTGTGTAACCATGTTTGAGAATCTGTTTTCACAGTCAGGACAGCACTTCAAGCCTGGACACACTTGTGACGGATGTGTGTGTGTGCGGTGCATGGATCCAACACTGATGATAACAGGGCTTTAATATCACTCTTTATCTGTCCAAAGCGTTTTAACACCCAACACACTCACACACATTCAATAGCTAGTTCTTATTTAAAGAGACAGATATAAATAACCTGATACCTGGGTTCATACAGAATACTCATTTAGGTCCAATCTCTAACTTTCTTCAAAGGTATTTGTTTACTGCATTCAGTAAGAAATAGCAGCATCTAGCTTCACTTAAACATAGAACGGAAACACAGACACAATCCCAGGGGCGGATTGGCCATCTGGCAATTCTGGCAAATGTCAGAGGGGCCGGACCATTTTGTTTAATGTGGGCCGGTCAGATTTTTTCTAAATATATATAAAATAGTTTTTTACTGGCCAACAGCACGTAGGACGGGTTTTTATCGCTTGCACGATTTCTCTATGGTTATAATAATAATAAAAAAATGTTAAGCATTTGGCCCAGTCGGCAACGGCCGAGATGGGCCGACCGAACCGTTCAGTCAAAATCAAGCACGTCATCAGAGAGACTGCAACACGAGCTGATTTTCAGTAAAAGCTAGATAATGGACCGTAAAAAAGGAAAGGTGGTGCAGACAAGTCCGACACTGCTAAATGCGTAAAATTAACCGGACTCTTTTCAAAAGGTTTAAATTCGGCTGCTGCAGCGGAGAACAGTTAGTGCCACAGAGGTAAGAAGAAAACAGAAAATACAGCTAGCACAAGTCATTTTCACACTACTTCTGCCAGTTAGCTCGTGTTTTTTTTTTTTATTTATGACAAATCATCTTCTAGAGCACAATGGGCCAGAGATGCCTTTTTTTTTATATAAAACCAACTGCAGATCTCTGCATATTTTAATACAGAGACCATCAATATATAGGCTGCTTATGTTGAAGTGTTTGGGATGTGGCTTTTAATGATGAGACCTTTTTTGTAATCAGGCTCTCAAAAAGTATATAACAATTTGGATATAGATTTATCGGCCAACATATCGGTTATCGGCTTTCAAAAATAAAGAGTAATCGGTTATCGGTATCGGCCAAAATTTTCATATCGGTGCATCCCTATATAAAATGCATGATATGTGTAGAGATTAATGTGTTAATTCGATCCTCATGCTGAACAAACTCAAACCAGTGAAATCAGATATAAATAGACAATGCAGAATATTAACAGTGACTGTTTATTGAATCTTAAATAACTAGAGGGGGGGGGGGGACATTTAAGCCTTGTCTGGTCCAAGGAATTCACCCTACATCAAGTGTAAGTAACTGTGTCCTGTTACTTGTCAGCTCTTATTAAAACAGTGACACAGCAAGCTGTCCATCATGGCCTACAGGCAGCTCTGATGACTAGAGCCTCAGCTGGAGTATTTTCCTAATACTGCATACAGAGCACAGACATTTTCTCAGCTTAATTTGCAGACAACTAAGCAAACCATCTGTAGGTTGATTTGTCGACCATCTCAAATATTGGGTCAACCAATGGCGCGAGTTTGAGGCGGGTCTGAAAGTGTATATTTCTCAAATTAAACAAAACTTAAAAGAATTCCTTGCGAGTTCAGATATTAAGAACATTCAGAACACTATAAAAGTTAACAACATTAACTTACAATAGTCAAAGATATATATATATATTGGCTCTTGTCTTACCTTCACATACACTAGAATTCATATCGTCAGCATATCAGAGAGCATTAATGCTTGTTCGCTGTTGGGCTCATGAATATTAATCACGTTGTCGGCATTGTGATTTGCTGAAATCAAACCGCTGACAGGTGAGCATTAGCCAATGGCGTTATTGCTGGCATGTTAGTCCCGCCCGCTGCTGAAGCAATCACATCTTGCAGTCTCTTCGTTTTACAGGAACGTATACAGTAATAAATAAATATTACATCTTAATTAAAAAAAAAAAAACAATCATAAAATGCCACATTGAGTTACAGTGTGATAGGTTAGTTCATGGATTGATAGGCTTACTGAAAAAGATCAAAAGTGTTTTCTTTCTTTTTCTTTCATTCATTTGTATGTATTTTCGTTTATAATAAAACAAATAAATCCTATTTGCCAGACGTCCATAAAAAGAATCTTGAAGAAAATGTATTACAGATTTAACACAAACAATTCAAATCAGCAAATGCAACAAAAAGGACATACAAGACTGTGAAGGTCAGTTATATAAACCTATATGTCCCAGTTTTGCAGTGTTGAGTGAAGCTGCTTTATTACCAGTTTTGCTGCCCCGTAATAATACAGAAATTGGGTTGGAGAAATTCGCCTGGCAGGGGTTAATCTCAATTAAAAACAGTAAAATTCAATAACTTTAATAACATTTAAAAAAAAAAGTAAAACGTTACCACATGCAGAACGCATCTGTGTAAACAACAGTGGGTCTGTCTGAAGTCGCACCACATGGTTTCAAAAAGAATATATCACGGTGGTAATTTATCGTCACCTTGCGGACAAATGTTGTATCTACAGAAACCACAACAAATATCGTAATCACGCAAATTGAGATTTTTCTATGAAAAGAATGCTCATAAAGTTAAAGAAGCAATGAATGCTGGAAATGCGTCACATGACAAAATGACACTGTGAAATGACTTAAGAGCTAAATTGTGAAATTGAACACACTTTCAATGCGTACTGCGGAATTTGCAAAGTGCATTGCAATGCGATATGTACAAATGCAACAGCGAAATACTGCGTGCTTGAAAATCACACGATAAAAGACAAAACTGTGCGAGCAGCCATAGTAACCCTGTGATTGATTCTTTAAATCGCGTGACTTAAAATCAACTTTAAATGTTAATTAAATTATCGACTCATTGGAAATCGTTGAAATCCTGGAAACAGGCTACTATATATAAAAATAAACTATCAATGCAAATATGCAAATTATATAGATTCTTTATTCAGAACCTTATTATATCGTGTCACTTAAAATACAACCATCATCTATCACCTTGTCCTTAGCCTTTATTCTGCTCAAGGGCGATAGCCATTTCAATACAGGGATACAGACGAGATGCGTGCGCATGCGCTGTTGTGAAAAAAAGCCAAGTTCATGCGAATTACGAATCCTATTATGGCGATGGCTTGGGTTATAAATATTACATAGTTCTTTGTGACGTTGCGTGGTTATCTTCCTAAAGCGGCCAGTCACGTACCTTCATTAAAACTAATAAACCAAACCTTCCTCAAAGTGACAAGAGTTAATACGCCCTCTGACTAGAGCCCGCCTGTCTTTGTCTGCCTTTCAACCAATCAGTGATGACTATTGGACTAACGTCACAACACTTAGTTAATATTCATGAGCCAAGAGTTCGCCATAGTGGGGTTCGTAATGTGCGTGCGTGTGCGCTCTGTTGTGCATAGTGTACCAGTCTGAGCACACGGCGGATCTCCGCGCTTAGAGCAGAATCATGGTTGAGCACCCACGGGCCTTGCCATTATCTAATGATGGGCTTTTAACCAACATGCGACGACTTGCTCTGTTCTTCTGACCTGAGAAAGACCCGATACCCCGGTCGGTCCGGATTGATTTTCTTCGCATCATTTGGACAGGCGTCTCTAGGATGGAGCACATCACAACACCAAAGGTACTGCTGATGTCCTTTATGTTCGGGTTTTTAAAAAAAACGCTCTCAATACAGCGTCCATCCTCTAGATCTCTTTCGTTTTGAATGGCATAATATTTCATATTAATATTTGTTTACCGAATTAATTTGATGTAAAATAAATGGTTTGACAGAATAAGCCCAAATCATAGGCCACAATGCATAGACATTTTTTTTTCAATTTTTTTATTGCAGTAAACAACAAGGATTACAGAACAAACAGTACGTACAAAACATACAAAATACCAATCAATAATAAACTCCTTGAGGATTAATAGATAAAACATCACAGAAAAGGGCAGAAGAAAAAAAGGCACACAAATAGAAATACAAGTATATTAAAGAAAAATCTTAAACGTGGCACAAATTCTAGATTTTTTACAGCTTTCTTGTTAACAGACGTTGAAATTCTGTTTAAATACAACTTCAGTTCTTGTCTGGAGATGTTAAAGTGGGGTTTACATTTAGTATATTTACATTTATGGACATAAAACTTTCCAATAAATAACAGGAGGTTATATACGGCAGAACTTGCATTTTTTTTATTGCAGTAAACAACAAGGATTACAGAACAAACAGTACGTACAAAACATACAAAATACCAATCAATAATAAACTCCTTGAGGATTAATAGATAAAACATCACAGAAAAAAAACAATATAATATAAAAATTCTTAAGAAAAGGGCAGAAGAAAAAAAGGCACACAAATAGAAATACAAGTATATTAGGGAAAAATCTTAAACGTGGCACAAATTCTAGATTTTTTACAGCTTTCTTGTTAACAGACGTTGAAATTCTGTTTAAATACAACTTCAGTTCTTGTCTGGAGATGTTAAAGTGGGGTTTACATTTAGTATATTTACATTTATGGACATAAAACTTTCCAATAAATAACAGGAGGTTATATACGGCAGAACTTGCATTAAATAGATTCTTATCTTTAGCATAAAACCCCAAAATAATGTGTTTATAACACAAAGAGAAATCATACAAAATATTTTGGACAATCAGAGCATTAACATTATTCCAGAAAGACTGAACAAAGGGACACTCCCGAAACAAATGAGCTACAGTTTCAGAAGAAAATTCACAGAACGGACAGAATGTAGCAATGTCGCTTTTTAATTTCTGCAAAAACTGCTTGACAGGATAACACCTGTGAATTATTTTATCAGATATTTCTTTAACTTTATTTGTTAAGAAACATTTCAGAGGGAGTGTCCAAACATATGCCCACTTAATATCATCAAAAAGGTTGTTTCCGATAAGAAATGGAGGAAGAATTAGATGTAACAAGGTCCAAAAATAAAGACCTGATTTTGTGATTGGATTTTTGAACAGAGAAACAAATACAGAAATCAATGAGCCACTGTTATTATTTCTAAAAAGCATACAAATTTCCCGAGAGATGGCCTTTAAAACTGTATTAAATTCTTTTCTAGATACAGGACAGTGATATCTTAAAATAAAGTCTGAATAATTAAACAAAATCCCCCATAGATCTCTTTCGTTTTGAATGACATATGCATAATATTTCATATTAATGTTTGTTTACCGAATTAATTTGATGTAAAATAAATGGTTTGACAGAATAAGCACAAATCATAGGCCACAATGCATCTCTAGAGCATTGTAACAAGATCTGAATAATGCTTCACATTCAGCCCTACTGATGCATCATGAGACTCAGCAGATCTTACCATTTAATTTTAAATGCATACTCTTTAGTATGATATCTTACGATTTTAATGTATTCAAGAGCACATTGATTGAGGTTAGGACAAGGTGATCTGTTTCTAGCTAGCCCTCATTTCATATTTACTACATTAATGTTTTAGAATAATGCCAAGCTTGGGAAGAGAAGCTAATTGTTATGATTGCACAATAATTAACATGATCTTCAGAGCCATATATGTATTGGTAAGCTATTATTTTACAATTGACAACATATAATGTACATGGCAAGGCTGGTTTTTAGAAAAATTACTATATTGAATCTAGACTAATTCAGTTTATCTGTCTAGATCTATCTACTTTAGATTATTTATAATACGTTTTACATACACATTCTTTCAAAGCAGCTTAACAAAAAAATCATGATGTCAATGTTTCTAATAAATTAAATTAATATCGTCATGCTTTATAGTCACATTTAGCATATTAGATGTGGGCGATAATATAGTTCACATTTTGTGACATACAAGCTATATTTTATATATTATTATATTATATTATATATATATATATATATATATATATATTGTTTTCTTCCAGGTGGAAAATGTGCGTATGATTGATAGACTGACCCCCAGGAAATCCACGGTGGGAACATTATACCTCTCCTCGACTCACACTATATTTGTAGAGAACTCGGAGGCCCGCAAAGAGACCTGGGTAGGAATCGAAACCCTTTCATGCAGATAATCAAGCTTCCTCTTGAAAATGACCCCAACTGTTAAAACCACAGTGTCACAAGTTACTGTTATCTGGATAATTACTACAATCAACTGCATTTGTTGTTGCCTTATTCTGCTTTTTATCGGCTATATATATATATATATTTTGTTATTTTTTATTTTATTGTTATTACTTTTTTTTTGCTGAATCTAGACTAATTCAATGTATCTGTCTAGATCTATCTACTTTAGATTTTACATACACATTCTTTCAAAGCAGCTTAACAAAAAAATCATGATGTCAAAGTTTATAATAAATTAAATTAATATCCTCATGCTTTATAGTCACATTTAGCATATTAGAGGTGGGCGATAATACAGTTCACATTTTGTGACATACAAGCTATATTTTATACATATACATTCATATATATATTTAACAAGTTTGTTATTGTTTATTTGTTAAATTATTTGAGTTATTAATTTGTTATCTGGTGACATTATACCATAATTTGAGCTATTAATTAATCGTAAAATTCTAAACTGTGTATCTAAACAAGAACAAGTTCTGCAGCCACTAAGGGTCTCTCTTGCTCTTCTAGGTTCTGCACAGTTTGGTATATAATGTGGAGAGACTCCCGACAAATCCATCAGGAAGTCCTCTCATTATCCGCTGTAAGAACTTCCTTGTTTACAGACTGCTGATCCCACAGGAGAAGGACTGTTTAGATGTGCTGGCCTCCCTCACTCGACTTTCACGCCCAGGTGATGTAAAATGCATATTAAACTTTACAAAAATCAAAAGAGTTGTAAATGCTAAACATGTTGATTTCAGAGTGCTCTTAAAAAGTCAAACGAATAGGCTATGTGGAATATATGCTTGCTTTTATTCATCTTCCTATAATTTAGTAGTGAAATGCAATTTAAGGTGTTCATAGATTTTTTTTTTTTCATGATCAATGTATATTTGTTGGATAATCAAGCAAAATATACACTAACAAATATCCTGTTCAATTTATGGTGTGTGCGGTGGCACGCATGACAGATTTACTCGCATACAATTTGGCAAAGCATGAATAATGATCCATATATTAGCATTTTCATGAACATTGTGCCTTTTCTGCTTCGATAATGCAAGGTCTTAGCTGTGCCATCACAGTTCATTATGAAAATACACCAGACAACGTCAGAGCACAATTCTCTGCAGCTCTGTGAGTTTCGTCCATGGGAGCGACACACTCATTAACTTTTACTAATGTCTCTCTTTATACTGCAGAACGCTATGGAGAGTTGTTTTGTTTCTCTTTTAACCCCAACCTGGATAAAGAGTTAAGGGAAAAGGCCTGGGGCTTCATCGACCTGAAGGCAGAATTCAATCGAATGGGAATACCCAGCAACCTCTGGCATGTCACAGCAGCCAATCATGAGTACAGAGTAAGTATTTGCTCAAATGCCTGTTCATGCTCAGGGTCAATAACCATGTTTTCCTTACCCACAACATATTTTAAATTACACTGTGAAAAACAATATTAAATGTGATGTGTGTATTTTTTTGTCCCCAAAAACTGAAACTTGGTAGAAGACTGTGTTTGTGTACTTAAGAAGATACTTTTAACCTCATGTAGTTGCGAACCTATATGACTTTCTTTCTTCTATATGGAACATAAATGAGCTACTTCTTGGTTTATGTTTCTATAGCAACAGTGATACGTCTGATTGGCGGATGATTATGGGAAGAGCAGTTCTTCAGTGGAAGTTTGGCTATTAAATGTCATTTGTTTAAAAAAAAAACATTAATTGAAATCACATGGAAATGTGGCTTCTACAGAAGAATATTATTATTGCTTGGCAATTTCAGAGCTGATAGTAGGTCTGTATTTAAAAGTATATACGTTATCCATATTTGTAAAGTCAGCAGAAAAGAAAAGTTGTTTCAGAGGCAGAGCAAATTATTATATTTTAAAGGGGTCATATGATGTAATTTCAATTTTTCCTTTCTCTTTGAAGTGTTCTGACGGGGTCGTCACCTGTGGTTGCCGCAAGCCCTCCAGATGCTCCTTCGTCGAATTCGCTGGCCGCGCCGTTCTCAAGCCCACCGGCCTCTGCTCACTCTAGGCCGCTGTGTGTGACGTTGTGTTTCGTTGTGAAAGCGAAACTACTTTGTTTGGCCTTCCAAAAATGGACACGACTAGAAATCAGTGGTTAAGTTGTATTTACAACACTGTTCCAGAACAGTTCAACCCAAATATTCAGATGTGTGCAGCACATTTTATGGAGGACCGTTTCCTGAACCTGGTAGAGTAGACTACAATGAAGGCTGTTCTGACTCACAGACTGTAAGCACGTGTTTTATATTTAAAGAGTTTTTATATTTTTATATTTAAAGCACAAGGCCAAAGGTGAGAGATCACGAAAAAAATAAGTGGATGGACAGGTTGGACAAACTGTTTTAGATGGGGTAATTTAAAAGTTGTCTGATATATAAAAATTTGGGGTCAACATAATTAAAAAAAAAAGTTTTTTAAAGAAATATCTGATGCTCACCAAGGCTGCTTTTATTGCAGCCATTAAACTGTGGAAACCGTAATATTGTGGAGAAAAAAAAAACTCTTCTCTACTTTAATGTATTTTGAAATGTATTCCTTTGATGGCAAATTGTCACATGATCCTTCAAAACCCATTCTAATATGCTTCTTAGTATTTTAATGCATACTTGACAAAAAAAAAATACCCCAAACTTTTAAATGGTAGTAGCCTATATCAAAAAATGATTGGCTTTGGCTTGGTGCATATAACTTCAAGAAGTTCCAATTATTGTAATGAACTATACTGTAATATAATGTTGATATCTTGTAAATAATCATAAATACCAGCAGCATTGCGACTTTGAAACACTGTAATTATTTCCAGCTAAATGCCATGGCTAATCGTGCTGCGGGGAAGGGCTACGAGAACGAAGACCATTACACTAATACAAAACTGCAGTTCATTGGCATAGAAAACATCCATGTCATGAGGAACAGCCAACAGAAGCTTATAGATGGTAGACCGATTAATCCTTATTACTTTTATACCAGCAGATACTTGTCTGGTGTTCACTTGCTGTCCATATGGAAAATGAACCTTTTCTGTCTTGCAGTTGGTGAACTTGTGGCTCCCTCAATGAGTGATTTCCTGTGGGGTCTGGAGAACTCTGGATGGCTAAAACACATCAAAGCTGTACTAGATGCTGGAATCTTTATTGCAAAGGCAAGACTTTTCAAAAAGTTTTAAAGATGATTTTTAAAAAGCCATGCTATGTTATCAGAAGTGATTAGAATGGACATGGAAAATCACGGAAATTCATTGATAATGCATGTCTAAAAACATGGCATGTCCAAAAAAAAAACAAGTAGAAAACCTAAGTACAAATACAGTATGATTGATATAATCACACATGTATTCTTCCATTCCTGTCTGTGTTGCCAGGCAGTGGCAGAGGATGGAGTGAGTGTTCTGGTGCACTGTTCAGACGGCTGGGACAGAACAGCTCAGGCCTGTAAAATTTGTATCTGTGCACACACTAAAAAAAAATCCTAATCACATTTGATGGCTGAAAAATCAATATGCTTAAGAAAATCAATAAAACGGCACATTGTGCACCGTGGCATAAACATTTTAAAATGACGTAGTAACCAAGACCAAGCTTTCCCCCCCCCCCTAGTCATTCCTTCATTATTAACCATTTTTATAGCCATCCTAAATACATAATGTTTTTGCAAAATGAATTAAATGGGTTTGTTTGTTTAACATTGTGCAATAGAGGATTAACCAACTGGAAATGATGTTCTAGGTTTTGGAAGGGGATGTACGGCCGTGCAGAGAAAAGTGTGGCTTCACACCAGTCTCCAGCCGATTGCCTGAACGTGGTGAGGGAGGAGTCACAACAATTGGAGGAGGAGCTTAGCACCCACCAGGAGGTACCACGGGAGACGGACGCTGGACAAGGCATACACACGCATGCATAAATATCACATATTTATCATCAAGCATTTTAAAATGCATCCACAATTAGAGTTCATTCCCACACATTACAAGTATACTATGCAGAATGTTAGTGTTCCATTTCAATAGGGTGACCATACGTCCTCTTTTTCCTTCTCATCTAAGTTGCCTAAAATGTCCAGGTTTTGGCTTTGATTTTCTATTGCTTTCATACTTGCTAAAGGTAATGACTTTAGCTAATAGCTTGCAGGGATTGTACATAATCGACTAATCATTGTGTGCGATAAGGTGGGATCTACACAGAACGGTCAAAGCAGTGCAAATATGTGTACATAAAATGTATGACTGTAGAGAGACTGTCGATAGGAAAACAAAGCCAAAACCCAGACATTTTAGGGACATGACCAGGAAAACCAGGATGTGTGGTCACCCTAATTTCAAACATTAGCCCAAGAGAATTGAATTTGTTCCTTCTTTTTGCTGCACTAATGTAAAACTCACCAACCTTGTCCTCTTCAAACTGACCTCTACAGAGACTTGCCCAGCTGAAGGAGAAGAAAACTTCAGGGGGGAGGAAGAAGACCAACAAGCTGTCTGAACGTGTCCGCCGTCCAATTCCAACCGAGAGCAAACCCAGCAGCCCTCTAGACTACTTCACCACCACAAGAAGCGAGAAACACACTCCTTCCTTCACACTGCCACTAGAGTTAGCAGCCCCACCCAAGAACGGTGACCCTGATGACCTTTCAACCTGCAGTGATTTCGAGTCAGGCGTGGCTGACCTCAGCAGCCACTCCTCTAGTGCTGGAGACGACGCTAAGGACCCCGATTCAGATGAGGCGGTCAAAACAAACGCCTGAACTAAAACTGGTGGGATAAAATAAGGGATAAAAGCACAGTAACGGGTATCAAACTGGGAACTGCTGTGTTTTGTTTTTAATGTCATTTTAATTTTTTTTTATCTGTGTGTGAATTTATATTTAAGTATGTGAACAAGTACACATATCCAAGATGGTCTGGCAATATGACCTTATTCCATTTGAGTAAAATCTTATTTCTTGTATAGTATTTTAAGTTTTGGTTTGACTATATTTCACCGTCTGATCCTTCAAGCCCTTGGTCATTTTAGTCTTGACATTTTCCATAGCTTGTGTATGTTTGGAACAGCATATTATCATACTACTCGCGCTAATACACAGAACATACATCAGATACCCAGTATTATGGAAGCTTGTTTCAGCCATGGGATAAAAACTATAAAAAAAAGGTAATTGCTACTTTTATCTCACATATTTATTTTCTTGGAATTATGATTTTCTCAAAATTCTGAATTTACATTTTACGATATCTGTTTTTTTGTTTTGTTTTTACACCACAGAATAAAAAATACAAATTGCAACTATCCTCATAACTCAGACTTTTTGTCTCAATTCTGAATTTATATCGCACAAATCTTTTTTTTTTCTTGCAATTTTTTTTCTCTCAGAATTTGTTTTTTTCTGCCACAGAATTTCTTCTCACAATTTTGCCTTTTTTTTTACTTGCAATTCTGAAAAAGATATAAACTTTGATTTGTGAGATGAAGTTGCAATGACCTTTTTTATTATTTCATCCCACGATGGAAACTTCTTACAGGATGGAAGCTTCTATACAGAATTCATACAACATTTGAAAATACTGTGTCCTACAAAGCAGTATATATTTTTTTTAAATAATTAGGTTTGGAAATACAATGCATTTTATTTGACCATATAGCGCGGCATAATGCTAATTCTAATTTCATGTGTAAAAACAGTAGACAAAATAGAGTATGCTAGTATTCCATTCCAATCCTAGCTCAGATCTTCGTGGAAATTGGACTGTGCCTTTTAAGACCATCAGATTCCCTCCTGTGTATTTAGAAAATCTTAAACAGAAATTATGAGAATTTGCTGTACATGTGAAAACAAGAACTATATGGAATCAAGAGCTGTATGGCACCCACACTACATTTACTTCACATTTCTGTAACTGTAGGCATACTCTGGCATATAGACAATCAGTCCCTCACACATCGCTGTCATTACCATTTCAGCTACAACAGTAGATTTTAAACAATTTGTCTAGAGTATCTACATTTCTAAGGCAAATGCTCTCAATAAAATGTTTGCCAAACAGCAAACAAAATGACAGGATATCTGGAACTGGTTTTACAATTTTTAAATGTGGAACTGCTTTAAATGAAACTGCAATGTGACTGTTTCCAAACAGGTTTCCTAAACACTTCCACCCCATCTTCGACTGTTGGACAAATAAGTCAAACACAGCCCTGCAGTCCTTTGAAAGGAGCATTTACAAAGTGTTTACACACTTCATGAAGACACCTACGAATGACTTGCATATAGTTAGTTATCTTTGGCAATTTAACAATGAAAAATGACACATTTCACCTTTTTATCAGAAACTGAACTCTTGTGGATGCACTCATGAAATTCTGGCTGATAACTCATAAATGCCCAAATTTAAAATAGAATGCTATCTTGTCGAAATATATATAAAAATAAAACCATAAACCCTAAAATAATTCCATTTAAACCTTCAAGTTAAGCTCCAGTAATGTTTGACCGGAAAATGATTTTCTTTTCCACGAAAATGCATTAGTTATCGCATTGGACTAAAACTTACTGACTTCGCTCACAAGGGGTATAAAAGCTTCCTAAAAAAAGGTTGATTTTTTTTTTCTCCCACCTTGTTACATTTGTGGTACTCCTGGTCAGAAATGCCTGGCCTACAAAAAAAAATGCTTATAAATTTTGTATGGTATATTATAACCAAATATTATATACAGCTTGTTTAGCATAGGTGTTTTTTGGAACTGATTGGTCATAGGCCTCCCTGATCTAAGCTTATGTGCCTCAGTTTTTGAATGAAAAAAAGCATCATTTGTAGATAATTTTGGGAATGTTCAGTCAAAAACTGAGGTGCATAAACTCAGATCAATGAAGCCTACAGAATCTGTGCTAAATTAATTGAAATAAAACAAATAGACAAAAACACTGAATCCAAGAATTGGTGATAATATAGCATAATGAAAGATTTACAAGCAGTTTTTAAAAGACAGCTCATTTTTGATCGAGAACAACAAATTAAGTAAAGAGTTTTTAGCATAGCACAAGGGATACACGCTACAGATTAATTTATGCATCACAACAGCATTTACAAAGTGTTTACACACTTCATGAAGACACCTACGAATGACTTGCATATAGTTAGTTATCTTTGGCAATTTAACAATGAAAAATGACACATTTCACCTTTTTATCAGAAACTGAACTCTTGTGGATGCACTCATGAAATTCTGGCTGATAACTCATAAATGCCCAAATTTAAAATAGAATGCTATCTTGTCGAAATATATATAAAAATAAAACCATAAACCCTAAAATAATTCCATTTAAACCTTCAAGTTAAGCTCCAGTAATGTTTGACCGGAAAATGATTTTCTTTTCCACGAAAATGCATTAGTTATCGCATTGGACTAAAACTTACTGACTTCGCTCACAAGGGGTATAAAAGCTTCCTAAAAAAAGGTTGATTTTTTTTTTCTCCCACCTTGTTACATTTGTGGTACTCCTGGTCAGAAATGCCTGGCCTACAAAAAAAAATGTTTATAAATTTTGTATGGTATATTATAACCAAATATTATATACAGCTTGTTTAGCATAGGTGTTTTTTGGAACTGATTGGTCATAGGCCTCCCTGATCTGAGCTTATGTGCCTCAGTTTTTGAATGAAAAAAAGCATCATTTGTAGATAATTTTGGGAATGTTCAGTCAAAAACTGAGGTGCATAAACTCAGATCAATGAAGCCTACAGAATCTGTGCTAAATTAATTGAAATAAAACAAATAGACAAAAACACTGAATCCAAGAATTGGTGATAATATAGCATAATGAAAGATTTACAAGCAGTTTTTAAAAGACAGCTCATTTTTGATCGAGAACAACAAATTAAGTAAAGAGTTTTTAGCATAGCACAAGGGATACACGCTACAGATTAATTTATGCATCACAACAGAGTAGGTGAAATGGATAAATGTTTTCAGATGTGAATAATATATTCAACAACGTCATTGAATTATTAGTGTTTTAAGTGATGCTTTAAAGGGGACATCGGATGCCCATTTTCCATAAGTTGGTATGATTCTTTGGGGTCTTCATGAAATGTCTGCAACATACTTTGGTTCAAATTCCTCAATGGTCGTGTAAAACAACACCATTTTTACCTTGTCAAAAACAGCTCTGCCCAGTCACCCGTTTTGGTGCATGTCTCTTTAAATGATAATGAGCTCTGCTAACCCCGCCCCTCTCTTCCGGTTTTTTCGTGTATTCGGTGGCGCGTTACCATCAAAAACAGAACTAATCCACTGCATCCTCAGTGGCTCTGATGTTGGGATAAAATGAAGACTCTTATGTTCACTTTTACATCCAACTACAAAACACCTGCATTGCTTATGAGACATTGTACAAGCATACAACTGGCCAAGGGTGGAAATATGCTAATACAGGACAGTCCGTCAGCCGCCGTGGGCGGGGCTTGAGCAATATGACATCATACTGCTCAGAAAATCAAAACGGCTTGATAATTGAAACTGTTCAGGTTTTTGGGGTTTAAAAAATAAGAGTGAATGGATTTTTATCATTGTAGGGTGGTTTGTGTCCACACACTGCTAAGACACATTTATATGCAAACACCATGTGAAAGTGAATTTTGCATCCGATGTCCCCTATGAGTGATGCTTTACACTGTTATGGCAAACATAATCTTAATGTAAAAATAGAGGAAATGAGCACAATTAAATGTCCAATACTTACCAATACCAAATGAATAAATTAAAAAAGCTCACAACTGATATGGTACCTATATATTGTGCATATACCTCTGAACTGTTACTGAAGATGCAAAGCCACACTTAAGCCATAGCAGAGATTATTCTAAATGTTTTATTAACCTATCAAATTAAATAAACATAATACAACGTCTAATTATAATAAAGGCTTTTATCAACATTATTAAATACAGTATGTTTTTGTCGGCAGCATTAACATTTTTCAAAATCATCTTCAAGTGCGTACAAGGCCCAACCCCATTTGTCACATAAACTCAAACTGAACTAATAAGCTTAGAACTCATCCTGTTTCTGAACACTATTAAGCACAGATTGCTCTCCTCTGATTACAGCCTTTGGGTCACAGCCAGACTGGGCTCATCCAGAAGTACTCACATCTGGCCTACTAACACTTAGTAGGGAGTGTAACACTTCTGGAAATTTTGTGCAAAACTCACTGATTTCATTAAATGATGCCGAAATCTCTTTTTCATATGTATCTAGGTTTGCCCACTCAAGGCTGTAGGCCACAAGATGTGCTGCTTGTCTTAAGCTCACCGGTCTGATGGTAGATTGATCCCAAACCTGTGATAAAGAATATCATATGTTCTTTTTTTTTATCAACACAAGAGTTAAAAACACTTTCTTACCATTTGTAAATCAATCTGTTGAGTTAGAAGAAAATATAAATAACCTACCTGGGGCATTCAATCTAATGTGTGGTAGGGAACGGTCATGCATTGCTGGAGCTTTTCCTCTTTGGCTCTTCTGCAATGACAAAGCTGAAAAAGAAGATTAGATCATTATGTTAATTTTCAGGAAGTGCACAAGTCTTTCATATCAGACCTTATGATAAGACCCAATGGAATGACTTGACAAGCATAGTTGTGTTCCCGTGTTAACTTTCTATTGCAACAGGAAGCCGAGGCAGAACATAAGTCTCATGAGCATCACACTAGTCTTACGAAATGTATGAATCTAACGATTCTCAATAAAAACTTGTGTATTGCTTCAAGACAGCAACCATACATCTGTGTTTTTATTCATTTAATCAATTAATTATTCCATTTAATCATAATAATTGGTTAGATTATGATTGTGTGGTTTTGAGAGATATCGGTCTTCACAAGTAAGAAATAACAGAAAGTCTCCAAATCAAGGGTTTTAACGTCTCAGGACGATACTGTGAAACATTAAGCTTTTGGTTTGGTACAATAACACTTGTTGGATTTGTAGTGGTCATTGTAATGGTTTGAAGTTCTGACATTCAGAAGCACTGAAACTGTTCTTCCTCGGTTTCCTCTGTCAACCTTTCAGGCTGATAGAAGACTTTTAGTTAAAGGGGTCATATGATGCTTTTTTAAAGATCATTATTTTGTGTATTTGGTGTAACAGAATATGTTGACATGCTTTAATGTTCAAAAAACACATTATTTTTCAAATACTGGACATTATTGTAGGTCCTCTATGCCCCGCCTCTCTCAAACGCTTAGTTTTCTACAAAGTCCCTCCTTCGACAAGCGCAGTCTGCTCTGATTGTCCAACTGACCCAGTGCTTTGTGATTGGCCGAACACCGCAAGCACTCGTCGGAAATGTAACACCCCTTACCATAATCGCGAGCTTCATCTTTCAAAATAAATGTAAAGACAGTAAATAATGTCATTAGTTTTACCATCAGTTCAAGCCCGAAAGGGGAACAGAGTC